AATAGTGCCTTTTTCATAAATTGTGCTGGAAAAACTGGCTTTTCACAGTCTAAGAAATAAAACTAGACCCATGTATATACAGCATCATGCACTAAATTAAACTTAAAATGGATCAAATTCTAAACACTAAAACAGAAACACTAAATCTGCTGGAAGAGAGAATAGGTAAAACTCTTAAAGACATAGGTGTAGGCAAAGATTTTGTGAACAAAACACTGACTACATGGGAAATAATACAAAGAATCAACAGCTAGGATCTCATCTTAATAAAAAGCTTTTATATAGCAAGAGGAATTACCAATAGAGTGAGAAAACATCCTACAGAGTGGGAAAAATATTAGCTAGTCATTCTTCAGAGAGAGGAGTAATAGTTGGAACATGTAAAGAATTAAAAAAAAAAAACAACTCAAGCCCACAATTTTAAACACCCCATTCACAAATGGACACCTAAAACGAATAGACACTTCTCAGAAGTATAAATAGCAAATAAACACATGAAAACATCATGTTTCAACATCACTTATCATTTGAGAGGTGCAAAGTAAAACACTGAGATTCCATCTCACTCCAGAAAGGATGGGTATTATCAACAAATCATCCAATAACAAAGGCTGTAGGGGCTGTGGGGAAAAGGAACCTTCTCCACTGCTGGTGGGAGTGTAGACTGGTGCAACCACTGTGCAGTTCAGTGTGGAGATTCCTCACAACACTAGGATTAGAGGTTACTTTTGACCCAGTGATTTCCCTGGCAGGTATCTCCCTAGAAGAATTGAAAACATTGTACCACAGCCATGGATATGCACCCAGGTTTATAGCAGCACAATTTGTAAGAGCAAAATCTTGGAAACAACCCATATCCCCATCAACTGAAGAATGGATAAAAAAGTTATGTTTTTTATACAATGGAGTACCACTCAGCCATAAAGAAGTTTAAACATGAGACATTTCTAGATAAATGGGTGCACCTTGAGACCATATTCTTAAGTGCAAAAAATTATTCACACACATATGTAAATATCACATTGTTTATCAGGTGTGAGAAACTGAAAGTGTAAATAAGGACCAAAGTGTATAATAAGTATTGTGAAATAGCAAACAATGGTTCAAAAGAAAGGGGAAGTAGGGAGGTGGGAGGAGAAAAGGAAGAAAAGGCAAAGAAAAGAGATAAAAGAAGGATATAATGGAAACAAATCTTTGTAAATAAGGAAGGGAAGAGGGGCTGAATGGAGAGGAGGTGCTTGGGAAAAAAAGACGAATCAAGATATATCATGAACAGGTACAACTTCCCTATGATGAATATGATCATTATATATACCTAAATGATACCAATAAACTTTAAAAAAGTAACAATATATTTTTCTAATAACCCAAGATTCTTAATATAAGAGAAAGTAGCTGTAAGTATAAAAATAAAGAATGCATAAATTTTATACATTCGTATTTCTGTAATAAGTATTACTTGAAATTTAGTGAAAGTCCCTAAAAATAATAACTTCTGGAAAAGAAGTGCTGGTAAAGGAGAGAAAAGGGAAAACAGCACTTGCTTGGTGGGGATGTATATTAGCACAGCTCTTGTTTAGAACAGTGTGAAGCGTTTCCAAATTCTACAAATAGAAAAATCATAAGCTACAACAATCCTTCTGGGTCTGTATCAAAATGAAATAATATGTCTGAACAGGAAACAACCTGTATGAGAACGCCTAAGCAAACTATGGTATAATTTCCCACAAGAAATAGCAATTTACTGGGAGTGGATTTGTTAAAAAACTGGTGATACAACAGAGGTGAATTGCAACATACCATACTGAGCAAAGATGTGAGATACAGCATTACACACTGCATGATACCAATGATATGTATGTGCAGAAAAGATAAAACAAATCTATAACCTAGGAACACTGTCAAAATGGGAATGAGGATAAGAAGAGAACTGCCTATGGTGGGAGCTTCCTGAAACTGAGAAATTATATTCTATATGCAGTGCTCAAAGCTTCCCGAACTGTGTGCCTAGTATGTGTGCATTTTACTACATAAACTATACTCCAGTGAAGTTCTTGATCACTAAGCATAGTCATACTATTTCAGAAGAATCAATTAAAACATTATATAAAACAAAAATTTGAAATCATACTTTCTTGAAACAAAACTACAGCTCCAAATTCTCCTTTTTACCTTCTTAATGTCCAATCTGAGGATTATAAGGCACTATTGTGCAGCACAGTTTCTCAATAGTGTGTTTCTGACATTTTTGGAGTGAGTTATGGGGCTCTGTCCTATGCATTAAATGATATTTAGCAGCATTCTTGTCTTTCACACTGCTTGTTCGATCTTTCTACCAGCTGCAACACTGAAAATGACCTCCACACACTGCTGAATCCCAAAACTGAATTGGGGGTTGGGGGGAAATTTCCACACTTGAGTATTGCAGAGTTGGAACATCATGTCTATGGTCAGACAGACATGGATAGGTTTCTAAATCTGTTAATTACCAATTTTGTTTCTATTGATGTTTACTTTGGATTATCATGTGTTTATCTTCCAGTCAAATTTCAACACAATGAATTATTTTCTCTGTTCCACATGCAAATACTGACTATAAAGAAAATCACTTTACCAAATTAATATCTTATGGCTATACCGCTTTATAAAGTTCACTTTAACCTTTCATAGTTTATGATCTCTATTTTATAAATTCACTATTTATAACTGAAAAAATCTTTATTTCACACTCAAAGGTTAATAATACATGAATTTGAGTAAGTTAAACAATTTTCTGCTAAGTGTCACGGGTAGTTTTCTTTGGTCCACTATTATGTGTCATAAACAAGGCATTCAACATCTCCATCATTACTATTCTCCACTGAGGTGAGAAAATATAGAATTCTTGATGATTTCAATATACAAAATATACTTCAGCAATTATTGGTACAAATAATTTTGAAAAATATTTCTTTTTAAATAATTTACAATGTCTAGAGTTGTAAGAAAAGTCAAAAGCAAAAAATAAGTCAAAGCATATTTGAATGTTTTATAAGATTTAGAAAGAGGATAGAAGACATAAGTAATTATAATACACCTCTTTATATAAAATGGTCATTTTTGTCCTAATCAGAAATTTAGGATAATATTGAGAAGATGTAAAATATTTCACAGTTAATGATTATGGAAAAAATAAGCAATGATGCTTCTACCAGCTCTCACCTGATCAAGTACTTGTTAAGTATGATGTGCCCATTTCAGTACTTTAATGAATGTCTGCCAGAACAACTGTTTCAGACTAATTTAGTAGAGCTAAAAGAGTCCGCTTCAAATGGAAGATAGGCTATAGACGAGTTACAGTCAATTCTATAACAGCAAAAAGCAGATCTAAAGCCACTGCTGCAGGGAGTAAAGAAGTACCGGGGACATGCGCAGCTGATCAGGACCATAGGAAAAAGGGGAAAAAAGTGGGAGTCGTTATTTCAAACAGCGCACACAGCAAGTCCACAGCTCTAAGTCGGAGGTCAGCCTGGACGTCTGTGCTGCTCAGCACCTAGGTAGGTCTGTTAGGTAACATGCTGAAACTAGGTTGTTGGAGCTCCTTAACGGCCAGGGGAAGAATTCCACCCCAGTAGCTAAATAATCAGGGGCTATGTGTATCCAGTTGCAGAGAGATACTCAGTGGATAAACATCTCTAGTTGGGAAAAATAATATCATGCAATTGATGCTATAGAACAATGCAGTAATATAGAGTATATGGAATTCTGAATAAAAGAATTTTGATTACTAAAGAAAACATCACAAATCAGATTAGTCAACCCATCCATTTATGCATTGTACAGATGCTTTCAAAAATGGATTCCAGAATTTGTATATTTGTTACGCATTTTGATACAAACTACACCAATGTATACAATTCACTTGGGGGATACAAATTCAGTGAAAAATAGATTTTACTTCTATACCCATATACACATATTTAAAAACATATTTCAAGTGTTTTCTGATTTATCATGAAGTAACATCCTGATAGCCTTTTCTGTATTAAATTACCACGTGTTGAAAATGTATTCAATATATGTACACTAGCATCAATTACATTTTAGCAATACAGTGCCCTGCAGAGCACCATTATTTACCCTCGTCATTATATGTCCGGGTGCAGCTGTGTCTTGTTCCCACTGCCAGCGTCCTGAGCAGCTATCATATTGGTAATCCAGGAAAGGATCAAAATGAGAAACACAGAGAGCAATTTCTATTGACTTGCGTCAGTTTTACAGCACTGTAGAACTGAATTCAGCAGTGAAACCTCTGTAAGTTAGGAACTCTCTGTAGCTTCTTCTGCCTCTTGACATAATATCACCATCTATAACGTAGAAAGGGGAGTCTGTCGTTCCAGGAAGACACTGATTATCTAAGGCTGCTCACAAGATTCCTCAAGTGAGAACAGCTTAGTTAAAAGAGAGGACATTGACAGGTCTTGTCAAACACAGGTTATCTGAGAGTCCTGATCCATCTATTTGGGGAAATTTTTGATGAAATGGTCAATGCTGTGCATTTTGGGCAATCTGAGGGCAGCTTCTGTGACTACCTTTCCCTTTCATCTTCCTGAGCAGAGATGTATCAGATAGCATTAAACATTTCCATTATCAGATAGCACAACCAGGCTGACGAGGATGAGAAAATACACTCCTATTCTTGCCTATATCTGTGAACACGGTAAATGTTCAGGTCACAAAGCCCTGTCAGAATAAATTAGTTATCAGAGCGACCATCTATGTCCATACATATTGACTAACACTGCCAATGTACTTTGCAATATATTGAGAAAACAAAATATTTTTCATAAAACTTCTATGATGATTTCTATTAATTGAAATCCACTCCATGTTATAAAAAACAGCTCAAATACAAGAAGGAAAAAGAATTTTTACAGCTTTTAAGAAATCTACACCAGAGATACAGCAAGGCTAAGAAGAACACAGAAAACTCGAGAAGAGTTACAAAAGCTGGCACTTACCCATACTTTGCAAAATTTGCCCAGTGTTTCATTATGGATCTACTCAAAATTTCTTCGGCCTTGGTGTAATTGACTTTTCTTTCCAGAGGTAAGCCGAAGACAAATTCAATTTCGTAGCCATGCATCACACCCATCCATTCGGGCCACGGAAGTTTGGAGGACTGGTGTTCAAAATAGTAGAAGAAGACGTGATTTCCCAAATCAGAGAAGGCTTTGGCAAACTCCAGCGCAGGGCATATGAAATTGTAGTCCCCCACAACATCATCCAAAGCCTCTCGGTAGCTCTCAGGTCTCTGGTCATCCCGCCAGTCTGCGTAGTGGAAGAGGACCGCCTCCCTCCCAAAGGCACTCACTCCCGGAAAGCATATTTTTAAGCCTTCCTGAAATTCCCTTCTAGTTATGATACTGCTGTTATCCTTGCTGAAACCAGGAGCACCGTATACTAGGAAAGCCGTGCCTTCGTCTTTATTCACACCCACCAAGACCTGGGTTTTTTTAAACTGTCCCAGCCGGAGTAAAGTCTCTGGCATGTCAGGGAGAAAATCACCATCTACAGTTGGCCCAAAATTTACTGACAGGAGAGTATCGTAAGGGAGAACAAATACTTCATTGAGGAGAATTTCCTGGGGATCTTTGGTTTGAAGGCATTTTATCATCTCAGTCTCATTGTCTTTAGAACAGCCAGTAAATTGAGCCAACATCAGTGTTCTGTTCCTGGCTTCCGAAGGAGGCATTACTGCCCAAGGCGCGCTAGGGGACCCGCTTTGCAAAATGGCTCTGGTGAAGAGAGGGTAGCTCTTAGACGAAAGCAAATGAAGCCCAACCGAAGCTGCCCCTGCACTCTCTCCAAAGAGGGTCACGCTCGCAGGGCTCCCACCGAAGGCTGCTATGTTGCTTTGGACCCACTGCAGTGCCAGCTGTTGGTCAAACAAACCCAAGTTTCCTGGAGCCTCGGGATTTCCTGGTAGAGCTAAGAATCCTAGGGCACCCACCCTGTAGTTCATGGAAACTACGATCACTCTCTCAACCCTAGCCAGAAACTTTCCATCATAAACATGCAAAGAGGATGTCCCAGTCTGAAAGCCTCCGCCATAGATCCATATCATTACAGTCGCATTTTTTGGCTTTGGCGCTGGAATCCACACATTAAGATATAAACAGTCTTCGCTGAGGGCTGTGTTTGGATTCCACATCTCTGATCCATGGAAGCCTGGGAAGCTTTGGTCTATGTTTTGATGGCAAGAATTTGCATATTTTGTAGCATTCCAAACTCCAGACCACTTGTTCAGGGGCTGTGGCCTTCGAAATCGAAGTCTACCGACAGGAGGCTGCGCGTAGGGAATCCCAAGGAAGGCGGTGACGGTGCCGCCCAGAACTGGTAAGTTCGTGCCTCTGACTTTGCCGGTCTTGGTTGTGACTATGATGTCTTCTTCAGGGTGGGACCTCCCGACAAGCGTGCAGAACAGAAGAAACCACCAAGAAAGGGGGGCACTTGTGACTGCATGCTTGCTCTGCATACTGGTCTCTAGGAGAAAGGCGAGTAGAAATCAGCCTCCTGCATAGAGTGATAACTTATTACTGACAATTCACCAAAGTACAGTGGTTATTCATCCTATGTACATCTGCTACCACTAAAAAGGCCTTGGCAGGTTAAGAAAATATAATGAAGATATTTCAGATTTTAAGTTAGAAGAGGAAATAATAGAGTGAAAAGCAAGTTATTTCTTTTTGGAAATTTCAAATCTCTGTAAAGAAGATTTTATGTCTTGATCAGGAAACTTGACCCAGGCATATATAATACTAATTCTGTACCATAACCAGCCACAGCAAATGTGGCATGACTTATGTTACATATACTTTCTACCTTGGTTAGTAGAGAAAATAAAACGCATGTGTTTTCTGAAATATCAAGGCTGGGTGGTTTGTGATCCATGGAATTCTATCTTTGCCCGAAGAGTTCTTTCTGTCCTTTCCTCATCCGTGGTCCTGTTCATGCTCCCTTTGCCTAGTGATTTCTTCCTGTGCAGTCTTACTTTCTCCACAGGGAGAATTTAGAGAATTTATTCATAGAATGTTAGGCAGCAAAAATATTCTACTTGCAACATATCTTCCAAATTGTAAAAACCTTAAACTTGTTTCCATTAAAAAAAGTGTACGTCAAGAGCCCTAAAATTGACAAGGGATGGTGATGTATAGTAGGGAATTTCTCTGAAATTAAAGAGAATGAAAAGCTTCTCTGCCTGAATTATAATCACAGTAGAAAGTACTGTAATGTGTGGAAGAAGATACTGGCTTAGAAGCCATTCTATTCAACATACATGTTTTAATTGCTTGCAGATTAAACATATCCCACTCCTTACATGTGTTACTTCCATTTTAATGATAGACAAAATGACTGAAATCAGAGGACCACAGCTGGGAATACTGGGACATTTGAAAAAACAAGAGTAATACTTATACACTGTAAAATAAGAAATATTTGGCATTTTGTTAAGTAATATTTGTTTAATGACAAAGAGACTATTTGGAGAGGTCAAAGTTTTATCAAAAATTCATCATGCAGAAGGATTATAAATGTATTGCAAATATCATTTTGGAAAAGTACTATCTTTCCATAACTGCAAGAAACACAATTAAAATATTCAATTATAAGAACTGATTCACATCCACATAACAATCACAAGAGATCCCTGAGGTACGAAATAATTCCTCTATTTTTTCTGATGTGGCAATTGTAAATCCAACCTATATGATCAAGAAACTAATCCTAATAGCATTATATATTTTCATTAATTTGTTCTTTACTTGTTTTAGAATTCAGAGAATAAGGAGCTAGCCTAGTAACTGTTTTCCTAGACCAAGGATGTTTGTATTTTAAATCATCCTCATTCACTACTGCTCATGAGAGCGCTATTATCAGAAAGTATTTGTTTATTCCAACAAATATCTGACAAAACTAAACGTGGGGTATGGTACCTGGTTTAGATCTTAAACTTATTGATGATATTTATAGCTACATATTATTCTAGCAATGTCAGTATGCGTGTGCAAATATAACTTTTTAAAAATGATTGTTATAACAACAAATATTGTTTTTAAGTCAAGTCACAGATTATTTTTCATATTCTCTGCTTTGGTATAACTGGATGTGTGCTAAGATCAATAAAATACATTATTCAGTGGTGTCATATTTTAACATTTTCTACATGTACAATATTTAAGTAGTATAACTATGATCAATGCAATTTGTTGTCAATATTTAGAAGAAAATAATCTATAATATTAGTAATCTAAAGATTCTGGTCACCTGACACCAAGGGAATTTAAAATTTTTGACAAGAGTCAGAGGCGCTACTACTACAATCCTTTTTATTCTTTTTTTTTCCTGAAAGTTACTAAAAACATTATTTAAGTAAGTTGAATGGACATTTGGGCAACCACAAAGTGCTGTGAGGAATTGCTTGTACCTTTTCTGAAAACTTGCGTTGTCAAGGACAATAGGACACACAGCTGGCTTAGCCTGAGCTGCATGAGAACAAGCTCCGCGCAGCAGCCCTCCTGCCGTCCTTCCTCACCTCCGCCGGGCTCAGTCAGCGACCCTCGTGGGCAGCACAAACACCATCTGTTTCTTTTTTTCTTACTTAAATATTAGTTTTCTTTAAATATTAGTTTACCTTTAAAGCCCAATCACAAAATACTGATAACTTTGGCCTCTGAAAATTTAAAAATTTTGTTCTATAAGAAGTTTAAAAATGTTATTGCAAAGCAACTGTAATTCCTACAAGATATAGTTGCTTTGTGTGTAATTAATAAATATGGTAATTTCATTTTTTTGTTTTTCAGAGTAGCTGCTATAGCATTGAGAAGTTTGTATGATCATTCCAGTGCTACTTAATTTTATTTAATTATATAAGAATTTTTTTGTTTAATTATATAAGTATTTTGTTTCAAGTAGGTCAAGATTTTACACAGTACTATCATATGATTTAAAGTCACTGTTTTTTTTTTTTTTTTGGTTTTTCTCCGGTACCAGGAACCGAACTCACGACCTTGCGCTTGCCAGGCAGGCGCTTTTGCCACTGAGCTAAATCCCCAGCCCCTCATTGTTTTTTTTTTAACCATAATATACACGATTTTTATACCTGTAAATAATGTAATTGATAGCGTTACGGACAATCATGGTGAGCATGTATTTACTGACAGGATGATAGTGTAGTTCTAATTCACACGTTACCCTTTGAAGATCCTTATCTACTTCCTGTATTGGTAAATCCGTACTTGATATGCAAGTTTGCATATACACACAAGCGCAGTGTCTTCCAAGGTTTTTACAGCTGTCAGTAGCACTTTATTTAAAAAGCACCATTTTATTTTTCTCAAAGTGTGTTATTCTGTGTTTAACATATTGCTCTGAAGTTTATCCAATAAAATATATATACATAATGATTAAATAATCAAAATATTAAAAAAGAAAATAAAGTGGCATTATTATATATACACAAATAAATATTTAATAATAATTAAAATAGTCAAAAGTTTACTCTTGCTCCTATGAATTCTGGTTTAACTGGCTACTTGCATTAAACATTAAATTCTTTGAGTACCTAATATGTTTATGATAAAGACTGAGGCAAATTTTCTCCCAGTGTCCGAATGAATATCTGAATACACTCAATTAACTTGCTGAAGTCGTGGTTCCTATCTGAAAGAAAGCTGTGAGTTTTGTTGGAATGGCAGAGTCAATGAGTGACGTGAGACATGGGAAAAGCCCTGAAGGATAATGAACTTCAAGTGCATAAAAGGCTCCAGGATATCCAAATTTACTGGTAATTGGGAATTTGTAAAGTTTTAAAACTGAAGCTTTGATGAGAAAATGTATCCTTTTGTTTGGATTTTATTTTTATTATTATTATTATTATTATTATTTTAATTTTAGTTTTTCTCTGGTACCAGGAACCGAACTCACAACCTTGCGCTTGCCAGGCAGGAGCTTTTTGCTGCTGAGCTAAATCCCCAGGCCCCTTGTTTGGATTTTAAATGCACCTGAAAGTCGAGCTTTGCTATAATCACAGAGCTCTGGGCTGTGACACTGAAGCATGCGCTCAAGCGGAGCCCGGGCAGATGAGAGACTTAGTGGAAACCCACCTCAAAAATTAAACACAATCAAACAGAGACAAAAGAAAAAAGAAGAAGAAAACATTTGCAAGGTTTGGAGATGTAGCTCAGGGTGAAGGCCCCATGTTCAATCCTCAGGATCTTCCTTGCCCAGTCCCCGCAAAATGATGAGTGTCAGAATGCCTCAGCCAAGTCAGACAGTATACAGTTTTATACTACGAGACATGGGTGTGATAAAATGATTGGTATAAAGAACTATTTGTGATTTATTTGCCATAATTGAATATTAACCAAATATGCAAAGTAATGGGCTACCCAATGACTATATAAAATAGTCATAAAAGTATTCTCTGGGTATAAGAGAATTTTCCTGCATTTAAAGAAGTTACAGTTAAAATGCATATTTTTATTTGGGAAACAAAACTTCTTAAAGTATTTGGGAAAGATGACGTTTATATGATGTACAACAAGCAACACTAAAACGTATCTGATTAAATTTAAACAAGTAAGTCTTTATATTGAACCTAAAAAGCGTGTTTTGTTGTAGCCCGAGTGAAGTGGGCAATTGAGGAAGTCTGTTTATAAATAGACTGCGATTCGCCTTTCAGGGGTCCCCCAATACCCTCTGGCGCTAGGAGATTGTGCACTGAGACATGTTATATTACTTGTAAGAAGCACGTGAACTGTATCTGTCCTCAATGAGGAGAAAAATTCACCAACTTTTACTGTATAAATAATTTGAACATTTAATTACAAGATTTAATGAGTCTTCTTTAGAACATTTTCTCAGGCTATTATATGTTCAATTATATTTCTCTGTGATAGTAAAGATTTGGTAAAAATCAACTGATATAAGCAAAATCTACAAAATAAAAGTAATATATAATTTAAGTATATTATTACCAACACATAGATTAGGAACTAAATTTATAAATCAGGTGTGAGTTGTTAAAATACTATTACCTCATATTTTACAAAAATGATATATAGTGTTGTTATAAGACTTTTAAAAAGAATTATATGAAGTGGGACTATGCAAATTAGTAAAAACTTTAAAAATCCTAGAAAATGAAATAGAACTTTGAAAATCCAACTAGAAATTCTCTTTCAGTTCCAAAAGCCAAGCTCTTTCTTACCTACAGAAAATTTTAAAGATCACCGTACCAAGCATTAACCCATATTTTAAAAGATAATGATCATCTGTAAGTAAAGTAATATTTATATAAATAAAATATAGTTGCATTTGTCATAACTACTAGTTTATACTAGGCATTGCCTACTATTGATAGAAATTCTTAAATATATTCATAAAAGTGAGAAAAGCATAATCATATAATAAACATATATTACAAATAGAAATCTAAGCAATGAAATAATTTTGTTCAACTTTCAATCTTGTATGTATTGTACTTTTAATGATTAACCCCGTGTTTAGACTGGAACTGATGTCATAAACATAATGCTAGGTTTACAAGCTCTTTGGATAAGCACAAAGTCTGCACACACATATAAAAACACAGAGGACAAATGGGGCAAAGGGAAAAGTTTGTAAATCCAAATGGGAAGTAGATTTTCCTTATACTTAAAGGACACTTTTACCTTCCGTTTGCCAGTTGATATTAGGAAATTTTCGGATAAAAAAAGTTGATTGAGAAAGTTCCCCTTTAAATAATCAATTGGAGATCTATTAATTGTAAGCTACCTGAGAGAGAGAGAGAGAGAGAGAGAGAGAGAGAGAGAGAGAGAGAAAGTAGATAAAACCTGGCCAAAGACTACTTTTGTTGCTCTTTTAAGAGATTCACTAGCCAGTGCATGTAAGGGTAACGCAATATAAAATGTTTTTTCTTAGCGAGCTCGCAGAGACCGTGTATTCCAGCAGGCCAGGGACGCCACAGGTGCGACGGCCCTTTATACAAAGTAGAGTGAGCGACCTTTCCTCAGCCGCTGAATGCCTGAGCCTGCGCTCCCTGAGAAACGGAGCGAGCGGTGCGGGTGCCTGCTCTCCTGCGTTTCTCTCCTCTGTCCCGTCTCCAAGCCTCAGTGCCTGCTCCCCACAGCTCCGCAGGGACGCAACAAAACCCGTGAAGAAATCACACTCCTCCCACAGAACGAGCTTCACAGTAACTTGCAGCTCTACACAAAGGGGCAAATTCAGGGCAACCTACCTGACTTTCTGCCTGAAAGGATGATAAAGTTTGCAAAGAGTGGAAATCATGGAATACTTCAGGGAAATGCGGGCTGCCGCTGCTGCTCCAGCCTGTAAACTGGACCGCACTGACATTACAATGAACTGTTACTGACAAAGCTCGCGAGAGTTGGCCCAGCAACTCGATGTAGAGGCAGGCAGTCTTTACTTTCTGACATCTGTTCGGAGGCTAATGGTACAAATGCAGCAGTGATTCATTTGCAGACGTATTACGGGGTCTTTCTTCATAACCGCAGACTGTCTGTTAAGGATAAAGAAAAAAAGAGATATAGAAAATTCCTTAACAGAAAATGCACAGATTTTAAAATCAGAACTTCCAGGGTTTTTCCAGAGTTTTCTTATGCTTATCAAGACTGAAAAGTGTACACGTTGTTCTAAAGAAATTCTGTAACTGAAATCCATTAGAGTGTGTATCTGTGAAATTGTGTGAAGTATCACAAAAGAGAAAAGAGGAAATAAAATCTCACTGTATATGAGCTATGCAAGTTAAAAATTAGTTATCCCACGGTTAACTAAGTGAGTATCTCATATGCGTAGCTTCTTTCAAACCTGACTCCTCCGCAGGTTTTAAGTCATACAGAACTCACTGTTTTGAAAATGTACTGTTGAGGGTGTCCTACGAGGAGGTGTATGTAGTACAAGCCACAGTTTTCTGGCCAAGAAAATATACAATTGAACATCTTCAAATTCTGTAAAAAAGACTTTTGTCACCTGACAGCACGTGTCCTGTGAATAATACATTTAATCTTTCAGGATTATCATTCTTAAAATACATATTTTGGAAAATTAAATAAAAGCATAATAAACTCTTTAATGCCTGATTTCTCAAGTCAGTTTCATTCTTCCTGTCTTATAAATAACTTTGCTTATAATTTTGTCACCCTAGAGCTCTTTAGGCATGTATTTGTACAAAGGTTCATTTTAAGTATGTAATAGTTTGTTAACATTTCAAACATTCACATCTGAAAACAGCCATTTGTATGAGTCTACCTTAGGGTGGTCTTCATAACTAACAATTTACATGAAATGTCTCAATTAATCCAACAAATATGCTCCATATTTCATATATTTATTATATATTTCCCACAATAATATACTTATAAGCTGTACAGGTCATATTATTTTGTTAATACTATTAATTAAATTTTCAGATGAGGAAGCAAAAGCTTATAAAAATGACATACTTGGGCTGGGAATATAACTCAGTGTACAGCACCTGCCTGGCAAGGGCCAGACCCTGAGTTTGATTCCTGATGCCCCCCAACACAAAAATAAAAATAAAAATTAGATACTATGTATTCTACCACTAGAAGTTATTGTAATCAGAATTTTATGGTATATTTGCTACATCATTTCATGTGAAGTTCTTTAAAAAGATGCTAAAAAATCTGTTATAAACATATTTAATACATATTTAAATTGACTCACCAGTAGCATCAACCAGTTACAAATCCTGACAAATTTTCTTTGGCTGTCTATTTTTACTTCAGTAAACCGCCTTTAACTCCTGCTCCTTTAGTTCAACTTATATCATGATTTCCTAGCTAGGCCACACCGTGAGATGCATTACTTCAGTTCATCCCTAAGACATTTCTTCTTCCTGTGTACTTAAAATTCTTCCCTTGTGGTTTAACATGCGGCAGCTGCTTTGCTTCTGCGGTGTCATGTTTTCACACACCCAGCGGGAAGCTATCACGTGCTAAGCTTCATTCGGGGTTGGTAGGCAGGAGCGAGTCCGTCACCCGACAGCCGCGCTGGTTGCGGGTCTTGCTATCAAGCCTTGAGCCTGTAGCGTAAGTGACGGTGATGAACCGCAGCGGGACTCCGCACAGCATGAACACCGCTCCTACTTCGCAAGCTTGTGCGCGGAGTCTGAGCTGGAGAGCCAACACGGTGTTGGCCTGTGATTATCTTCAGTTAGCGGGAAACTAACTCAGACCTTAGTGCTTAAGTTTATTGTAACTCACCACAGAGCTGGCTGTTGTCTCCATAGTAGCTCTAATGAGCACCTGAAACTGTGTAACATCAGCCACACATTAGACGTTTGTTTTTCTTAGGCAAAATGATGCCATAAAGGTGTTCTAATCATTTTTAACAACTTTTTTTAAACAAGAGTAGTGCATTGTCCTAAAAAGTAGAGATTACACAGAAAATTATATTTCTATATTTTGCATATCACAGAGCAGGAAAAGATCACTTTTGTCTACTCCATTAAAATTTTACATAGTTATATAGCAATGACATATTTTTTCTGGTTTTGAATTTATGATATTATTATTTACTAATGATTGGATGATATTATATATCTTTACTATAGCTTATTTTATTTGTAATTTATATGATGATAATACAAATGTTAGATAATAAGTACTATTTGCAAACACTGTTCTATGCATTTTGAATATATTAACTCATTTAAAATTCAGGATCACCTTTAAAGAAAATGGTGTTATTTTACAGCTGAGGAAATGTAGGCACAAAGGGTTTAAGTAACTTGCCTCCAATCATAAAATCATTGAAGTTATTTTCTAATGAAAATAACTTTTCCTTCTCAACTAAAGTAGGTTAGATTAATTTTCTAATTAATTTGTGTCTTTGTGCCTTCATGTTCATGAAAGTCAGTAATTATAAACCCATTTTATATACGGATATTTGAATATATCGTTTTCTTATTTTTCTAGTTTATTTCCCCAGGGTGAAATAAATAAAAGCAATTAATACAGAGTAAAATTTTGATTTTCTGAAATCTCCCCAAGACTGCTGACTGAGCCAGATTCCCGGTTACTAACTGCTCTCAAGTCAGGATAAATCTGAGCATGTCTTAGAGCCAAGGGACTAGAAATACATTCCCAAGAGTTACAAGTATTTGAAGATGGATTTTTCAAAACAGACATTAAAAATGGGCCCAGGTGTTTAAATAATAAAATACTTTGAGAATATGGTGGTAGCTTAATATGGAAGTCTCTATAGGCAGTGCCATCAGTACAGGATATAATGGAACTTTTTAGAAAACAAGGGAGAGTAAGTAATGGGAAGTTTGTTGCTGTTTTTTTTTTTTTTAATCAGTTTACAAATACTTTATGTCCAGAAACAGATTTATGGGCAGCAAGAACCTAGAAAAAAATGTGGAACACTAGACTGCAAAGATAACCAATGTCAAGAATAAACCACCGATTATAAGGAAATAAAGCACCAAGATATTGGTTGAAGTGAGAATGCAGAATAGAAGTGAGGAAACAAACCCTGAAACTTGACTTCACAGTGTTGGAGAAACAAGGTAAAGAACATTTTTGAGCTCAAAGAGATACAAGGAGCAAGCTTATTTATTTATTACCTAATTTACTTAATTAGTTCAAGTCAACATTTGCCAGAACTTAGATGTGTCTTGGAGTTCTATGTCAGAAAGAGTGCGTATTCCCAAGACACTGAATCATTCAGAGTGCCACTCAGAAATCGAGATTCCCAGGTGGTATCCCTCATCTTTGGGTCCAGTAGGTCTAGGAAGAATCTTTTAAACTGGCCTCCTCACTGAGATGGATTGGGAAGGTTCCACATTACCCATCAAGAGGTACCCCTGGTCCCGGCTTCTAAGGACATTGTCCTGCCAACTATATGATTAATCCTTATCTTTTTCCTTATGCACAACTAAACCTTTTATTTAAAGCTAATTTGTAGATCTACAATATATAATCTTTTTGGTCTACTTTCATATAACCCAGTTTAAGCTTTAGCAAAATGATGTTATCAAATATTTTTTTCTTCAATCTCATGTTATTGTCTGTGTATAATGGATGTACTACAATTAATCTAACCTACTTTAGTTGAGAAGGAAAATTGAAATTTCTACTGGAAATAGTGATATAAGCTGGACAAAATTGTACATATTTGAAATATTTTTTATTGTTTTTATGGAATACTCATATCTGAAAAGATCAAAAGGTATGTATTCTCTAATGGCTAAAACGTATATTACCAACTACCTTCATGAAATATTAGCAATGTATATAATATTGCTCTTACTGTCTAAAATACATATTTTTTTGTTGCTTTTTTTTGTTTGTTTTTATCCAGTACAGGGAATCGAACTCATGACCTCGCGCTTGCCAGGCAGGTGCTGTGCTGCTGAGTTAAATCCCCAGCCCCTCACAGTGTTAATTTTAATTTCTGCTTCTTTTGACAAACATATGACTATGTATGTTTAATTTTTATGCTATTATGATTAACCATGGTTTAATGAGTTTTTAAGTTAACTATAATGTAGTTTTTATTTGCATATAATTTCAATTTTACAGAAAATTTCTAATCAGTATAAAGAGCTCTCATGTATTTTACTGAGACTGACCAAATGGCAATATTTTGACTCACTTTCAATATCATTCTTTTCTGTATAGTTGTATATACTTATTGAATATACATTTTTCTATATGCTCACTGTAAATGCAGTTGTCCCTTGGGGAGCACGAGTTCTAGATCTCCCATGGGTATGAAAATCTGTAGAGCTCAAACCTTCCAGTAAAATGGCTGGATCTGTACGTACGGCCTGTGCACACACTCCCACACACTTTCAGTCTTCTGTAGATCATCCGCGGTACCTGATGTGATGTAACAGCCGTGGAAGTAGCCGTTGCCCTCCATTGTGTAAGCAGTTATGACGTCTCTACACACCTTGCACAATCGCAGTGAAAATCAGTTGCAGTTGGTTGCATCAGCAGATGAGAAGCCTGAAATATACAGGGTCCCATGCACGCATCTGGCTATGGATGTGCACACCTGCATATTATTTTTTTCTGAATTATGTCAGATATATTTGCAGTACTGTGCTCCTCTAACTTTCTGCACTCCAGTGTGATCCAGGAATTCCACCTGACCCCTGGCTGTGGGTGTAAGTCCATTAAATCAACGTGGTAAATAGAATAAATAAATAGTCAGAAATGTATAACTTAAAAAATGGTACCATATTTTAGGAATAAAGATTTCATAATCCTTGGTTAAAGCAGACTTAATCAACAGCTAACAACTGATTTTAAAATCAGTGGATATGTGCTTCATGGAGATCTGGATACTGGGGTATTCTAAGAAAACACAGATTATATG